CCGTCTCGGCCGGAGGGATAGTAGGGCAGCCCTGTCCCCACTGCGATAGGGCTGAGTAGGGAGGCAGCTGCCGTGGTTCCTCCTCCTCCTCGGTGGAAAAGGGTTGTTGCTACCTGAGCCTCAGAGCATAACCCAGCTCCTCCCTCTTCCTAGCCTTCTCTGGCGCGGTTGAGCCCTTAGAAAACAGGGGTGTGTATATGTGTTTTGTGTGTGTGTGGTGATCATTGGCGAGCTGAAGAGCCTAGTTTTCTGTTTGACTCAGCGCGGTGTCCATTCACACATGCAGGCACGCCATTCGACTCGTAACTGAACGCCTGAGCAGCCTTTGTGGAAGCGTCCTGCATTTGATGTCAGCTGGTTGTAGCGGCGGGGGGCATCTGTGGTGGTCGCTTCATACACGCAAGCCATTTATGTAGTCGCTGGCGATTAAGGTGTCCTTTGGAGTTAATGGTCCTGGAGCGGGGAAGGGGGCATGTCAACACAGCTGAGCCCAATTGGTGCCTCAAAGGAATAGTAACTTTGCAGGAGGATATCGCTGGCCCTCGCCTTTGCTTGAGCTGCAGAGTTTAATTTGAGCCAAGATTAGTCTTGGAACTGGTTTTGAATGCAAGAGCTCATGTGAGGCATGTGAAATTAGGAATAAAGGGCATGCCTCAGGAGTTTTGTAGGAGGATCTGCTCTATCTCAGAGTGTAAATATCAAGGCACACATACACATCTGAGTCGATCTTTGCGCTGGGTCACATCCCTGAGATTCCTTAACTGGAGATGTTGGGATAGGGAGCCCTGTTGGATCAGACCAAAGACCCATCTAGTCCAGTATCCTGTTCTCGCAGTGGCCAGCCAGATGTCCGAGGGAAGTTTGCAAGCAGGGTCTCAGTGTAACAGCTCTCCCTCCTTGAGATTCCTAGCAACTGGTATTCAGAGATATACTGCCTCCAACAGTACAGGTAGAACATAGCCATTGTGGCTGGTAGCCACTAATATTCATGAATTTGCCTAATTCTCTTTCAAAGCCGTCAAAGTTTGTGGCCATCATTACATCTTGTGGGAGTGAATTTTATAGTTTTAACTGTGTTATGTGAAGAAGTGCTTATTTTGGTCTGTGCTTAATCTTCCAACATACAACTTCATCGGATGTCCCTAGGGTCCTAATATTATTTATGGGGAGAGGGACACTTCCCTATCCCCTTTCTTCACAACATTCATAAACTTAAGCACCTCTGTCACATCCCAGTTTACTCTCCTTTTTTTTCTAAACTAATATGCCCTAAATGTTGTAACCTTTCTTCCTCCAGTCTCTTGATAATTTTGGCTATCTTTTTCTGAATCTGTTCCAGCTCTACAATATTCATTTTAGAGATGAGGTGATTAGAATTGTACTCTTGTACACTTGGAATTAGTATTCCAAGTGTATGTCACCATAGATTTTTATAATGGCATACTTTTATTTTCCTTTCCTATTGATCCCTAACATGGAGTTAACATTTTTCACAGATATTGCACACTGGGTTGAGCTACCCACTATGACCCCAGGCTCTCATTCCTGGTCAGTCACCACCAGTTCAGACTCCATTAACAAATATGTAAAATTAGGATTCTTTTGTCCCAATGTGCTTCACTTTACAGTTGCTTACATTGATTTGCATTTGCCACTCTACTGCCTAAATACTCAATGTGGACAAATCCTTTTGGAGCTCCTTGCAATCCTTTCTAATTTTAACAGCCTTGAACAATTTGGTATCATCAGCAAACTTGGCTACCTCACTGTTCATACCTTCCTCTGGATCACTAATGAAGAAGTTAAAAAGCACAGAATCCAATACTGATCCTTGGGGGGCTCCGCTTTCTAGGAGAACTATTCATTTTCCTCCTTTAGTACACCTTTGACTCCTTTGTCATACAAAGGTCAAGCTGTTTCCTTAGCTGCCTTGAGTCGTGTCCGGGGGGGGGGGAGGGAGCCAGGATATTAATATTATTAATAATAATAATAATAATAAACAAACCAGTCTCCTGCTACTAATGCATTTCAATGTTTTTCTCGTAGTTAGTCTTTGTTTTTAGCAATGTGCTCCTTCCATTCCTTTTTGCATGCATTGCTTTCCACTTGAAATTCTTTTCCCAAGGTGTGTGTTTCTTTTTGTTCTTCTCTTGGACAAGAGTTCCATTTTCTAAAGGAAGCCTTCTTGCCTTAATGGCTCCCTTGACTCTGCACACCTCAGCATCCTGAGGTATGCATTCTGAATGAGCTTCTGTTTTGGTGGTTTTGAACAACCTAAAGCATTCTAAAGAGATTTGACCCTCTTTGCCTTTCAACTTCCTTTTTACTAATCCCCTCATTGCGGAGGAAGTTTCTTATTTTGAAGTAAAATGTTACTGGTTTGAATTAGTGAATTATTGAACCTCAGTACTAAATGTATGCAAAAAAATGTGCTCTGCTAATATTGAGCTATAATCCCACTTCTTTCCTTGCCACCCCCTCCCCCAAATCTGGGAATACAGTGGTACCTCGGTTTAAGAACAGTCTGGTTTAAGAACGATTCGGTTTACAAACTCCACAAAACTGGGAGTAGTGTCCCGGTTTGCGAACTTTACTTCTGTCTAAGAACGGAATCCAAACGGTGGAAGGGCACCAGTGGCGGGAAGCCTCATTAGGGAAAGCGCGCCTCAGTTTAAGAACAGTTTCGGTTTAAGAACGGACTTCTGGAACGGATGAAGTTCATAAAGCAAGGTACCACTGTAGGACTTCCTGCTCAGTGGATATGGTTTGTAGACAATGTTGAGATTAAGGATGCCCTTCATTATTTTATTTTATTAACTGTTGGGTGGCCATAATCTAAATGGTAGCAGTGACTTGTTTCCATCTATTTTGGGGTAGGGAAGCTCAGGCAATAAAGATCTTATAGAAGCCAAAGTGACCAGCTTTTCCACTCATATATTGGCTATAGGAAAGTGGGGGGTGGGAGAGAATGACAAACTGCCTGCTAGAATAATAGCTAGCAGATGACGGCAACAAGCTGGTATCATTTTTTTAAATTAAAGTTTTTTTCCATACATTTTGTAAAATATAATGGGATCGACATGTAGAAATCCACAGTGGCAAGTTACCTGAATCCCAAGCTTGTATCTTTTTGACCTTGTTTCCAGTCAAGGTAGTTTCCATGTTCTAATTGAGAATGCTGTTCTTGTCTGTTATGTTTGGGTATTATTGTCTGTAGGTAACTTTTGTGGACTCAGCAAAACCATAAGCCAAGATGCTTGGTAGAAGACCCAAGAAAAGCCCCCAGGTGAAAGGTCAGGCAGCTGCTGCTGCAAAACAGGTATATATATATATACATACATGTCTTCTCCCAATTCTGTATGTACTTGTTAGAACAGTTTAAACTTTAAGTCCATTTGCTTAGCACAAGTTGTTATGTTACTACGATTCAAATATTCTTTGGAGTGTATTGTACTTTTGTATCTGTAAGAACAGAGAAGCAGTGCCTTTGATTACCCATATTTGAGTTGCATCAGCAATTCACTTGCAGATTTTGCTCCAGAAAGACTTGAATTATACAAGTATCTCATCTATCCTGTACTTTGCAATGGTAGGCTTCCTTAGAATTAAACCAGATCTGACAGATGTCCAGCCAATACTTCTTATGAAAAACTGTACCTCTGCTAGGTGCTTTATCCTTGAAGTCTGTGCCTTGTGACCTGATGAGTCATTGTCTGATTAGCCTTTTAAGTTCCCATCAGAATTTCCTGCCAGCTCTTGGATGCTGGGGAAACATTAAGCGGCAGGGTAGTTTAAGGAGCTAGCAGCAGCCCTTTGAGAGAAGCAAACAGAAAGTTGGAATGCTTGACACCTACTGAACAAACTTGGTTTCCTTCTCCGTTGTCATAAGTCTTGCTGGTAGTGCCAGGCGATTGCCTCCACAAGCTAAATAAGTGTTGCTGTTGCATGTTACAGGTAATAGAGCTGTGCGATATCAGCAGCAACTGCACTCCCCTCAGCTAAGCAGTTTCACGGAGCCCCTACCCCACCGCCAGCTCACAGCAGCCAGCACCAGGCTGGGGGCTCCTTAAACTGCTCAGCTGAGGTAAGGGCAACTACACACTCCTCAGTCAAGCAGTTTAAAGATACAGAGGGAGGAACAAGCTGTATCGGCACCTCGCAGAATGCAGTGGCGGGTTCACTCAGCGATATGTCGCTGGTGAAATCGCCACCGCTCTTGAGTACCTCTGCTAGCAGTGCCACTGGAGGAAGGAACTCTAGCGGACGCTGCTAGCAGAGGGACTCAGGACCGGTGGTAGTTTAACCAGCAATATACCACTGAGTGAAGCTGACATCACGGTTTGCTCCTGGGCAATATATCACTCACGCCTAACAGGTAACTTAGGTACGAGTGTTCATAAATGAAGAGCGCAAAAGTAGTTAGTACTTAAAAGCAAATACATATGGAATCAGAGCTGAGAGGTGCCACAATGCTGCCCAGGGCAACCTCCTCTATGAAACAGGATCTGCCAGTTTCCCACAGATTGGCTTATGCACTTAGGACACTATGTGCCATGATCAAAGAACATGTATGGTTTAGAAAAGTGCTTGCTGAACAAACTCATCCGTGCAAGTAGGAGACATTGCATGCTGCAGAAGGACAGTAAAACCTTCCAAACTTGCTAGCCAGCCTAGCCTTATGGAAGAGAGAACAGGTCTCTAGAATGTGATCCTTATGAAAGGAAGTGTCACATTTCCAAGCCAGTTGCAAGATCTGAACCCTTCACAAGTCAAAGGGTTTCAAAACACTGATTAGAAAACAAGAGGGAAGCAGTTCTGCAGGGTAGAAGTGCCAAAAGCGAACCATCAAACCAACGATTTAGAACTATGCACTGTCACGACTGGAAATTGCATTGGGAGCTTGTATGAATAGAGCAGGCTACCTGCTTCAGGATTTATTTTTATTGTTATATTTTTATATCCCACATTTCCTCCAAGGAGCTCAAGGTGGCATACATGCTTCTCTTCCTTCCCATGTTATCTGCACAACAACCCTGTGAGGTAGGTTATGCTGAGATGCTGCAACTGGCCCACATTCACCCATTGAGTTTCATGGCTGAGCAGGGAATTGAACTCTGGTCTCCCAGGTCCTGGTCCAGTGCCTTAACCACTACACCATACTGGCCCTACAGACTTATCTACTTCAATGCATGCACAGCAGTGAAGCCGGGAAGTGAGGATGTAATGATTTGGACAAGGCCAGTGAGTGTGTTCCTCTTCTCCCTCCTTATGTGATGTGGGTCAGCACCCAAATAGGGATATACTCATCTGTGTTTTCCAGAGTAATTCAGAGCAAACCTTCAGAGAATCTGTTTGCAAGATGGCTTGGTACTAGATGATTTTTAAAAGAATAATAATCTTGAATGCAACTTCCTCCTTATGTTGACAGGTAGGAAACGGGCAACAACCAACTTTTTGTTTGGTTGTAAACCACTGTGGTATGTGTTTTTGTTAGCTTTCACAAGCTAAATGGGAGCGCTATGACACAGCAGCATCAAATCAAGGAAACAGATCTTGTTTTTTCAGTTTTCGTGGGTTCTGTGTTAGAATAAAGGAAAGCACACCCTCAATTCACGCATGGAACTTGCCAGATCAGCAGGGCCTTACTGTTTGAGAGTGTATGCAGCATTCCCCATGCCTGACTATTGCAAGCAAAGGTAGATAGTGGTGGGGAAACTGTTTTTCACAGGAGCTTGTGTTGCATTACTGATGAACGTCAGAGCAAACCCAGGGATCTGAAAGCCACTGAGCTAGGATTATTAACGGGCACTGTTACAGGGGCCACATAACAAATAGATATTTTAGTGCGTCAGTACCTACACTTTGGAACTTATTGCCTGTTGACGCCACACAAGTGCCTTCCCTGTATTCTTTTCACCGCCTGCTTTAAACATTTTTTGTCCAGAGATGCCTGTCTGCACATGTAGAAGTTATATGTGTTTTATCAATTTTTAGCTGCTATGAGTTTTAACCCATCAGCTTTCAGATTTTAAAACATACATTTTTGTGTGTGAGAATTTTAATGTTTTATGTTTCTGTAAACTTCTTAGAGCTTTTCTTGCAATCAAGTGGTATATTCATTTTGTCCAGTAGATAAATAAAGACACGTTGGGCCTCAGATAGCCGGGGGGGGGGGCAGGGGGTGTCCAAAAGAGTTACTACATTTTCTATTGCTCCATACAGGCAACTCAAAACTTACAATTGTGTTCATTTGGGGTTGCTTTGGCATCCGAGCGGTGGATCAAAAGCAGCTATTCATCATAAATATTTCTCTCTATTGCCCTTACGTTATGCGTTATTGGGAGGAATTCAATGACATGATTTTCCAGTTGTTCCATCAGCTCAAGCATTTGGCTCGCTTCCTCACCCTGTGTGCTGTTTTAGAGATTCTCCAACCCCACCCCACCCCAGTCAATTTGGGGAGGGGAGATGGGAGACTTATTGCACAAGCTTATGCTGATGGGACTCATTAGTTGGATCCCATCCATTTTTTTTGTAGTGCTTTTAGGCTACTAGATTTCTGTCAGGCAAAGGATTATAAAATCAAGTATGTTTTTATGTTTTAGAACAAAACTGGGCATGCAGAAATTTATCTGTGACAACTTGTATGTTGTTTAGATTTCTATAAAAGACTTAAGTTCCCTGGGTACAACAGATGATGGATAGTACCTTGTGAACTTGCAGAAGTTTCAGTTTGCCAGTTTTCTGATGTTAGAATGAAAGTGGCAATTTGGTACGCTCAGGTAAGCCTGGTAACTTACACATCAATGGCACACCTAAGCCATCTTCAGGCATTGCATTCCACAAGTTACCAAGTGAGAGGGGGCAGCATGGATGGGTGCTCTATCTCTCTCCCCGATTTTGTCTCTTTCCATTTCATGGAAGGTGACAGTCTGCAGTGGGGAGCCTCTTTTTGTGTTGGTGTTTCCAAAATAGGTGGCACTTCATGGATCTGAGAGGCTCCCCACCTTAGATAGTCACAGTCTACAAGTTGGAAGGTGACAAAAACAGGGTTGTTGAGGAGCTAGTGCACCCCTACAAGTAGTCAGGTCCCTGGAATGTGATGCCCTGAAGGGGTCTTAAGACACATGAAGTTCAGTGGAATCTGAAAGCTGGTGCAGAATTCTGAGACTCCAGCATGTTTGGATTTTTAATAATAATAATAATAATAATAATAATAATAATAATAATAATAATAATTAATAATAATTATTATTTTATTTATATCCCGCCCTCCCCAGCCGAAGCCGGGCTCAGGGCGGCTAACAACAATAAAACAGCATAAACAACATTCTAAAATCATTCATTATAAAATTAATTAATTCAAGCCACTGGCAACCATTGGGTCAGAGCTCTGCGAAGATTGCTGAGGGAAGGAGTCAGGCTGTGCCCTGGCCAAAGGCCTGGTGGAACAGCTCTGTTTTGCAGGCCCTGCGGAAAGATGTCAAGTCCCGCAGGGCCCTGGTCTCTTTTGACAGAGTGTTCCACCAGATCGGAGCCACAGCCGAAAAAGCCCTGGCTCTAGTTGAGGCCAGCCTAACTTCTCTGTGGCCTGGGACCTTCAAGATGTTTTTATTTGAAGACCGTAAGTTTCTCTGTGGGGCATACCAGGAGAGGCGGTCCCGTAGGTACGAGGGTCCTAGGCCGTATAGGGCTTTAAAGGTTAAAACCAGCACCTTAAACCTGATCCTGTACTCCACCAGGAGCCAGTGCAGCTGGTATAGCACCGGGTGAATGTGATCTCGCAGCGAAGACCTCGTAAGGAGTCTTGCTGCAGCATTCTGCACCCGCTGGAGTTTCTGGGTCAGTCTCAAGGGCAGCCCCACATAGAGCGAGTTACAATAATCCAGTCTGGAGGTGACCGTCGCGTGGATCACGCGAGATCTATATTTCAAATTAAGGTAAAGTGTGTGATAGACACCAGTGTCTTCTCCCTTCTCCCACAACCAAAAAATACAATTTCCTATCACGTATGACTTTCCTTATTGGTACATTGTTCTTTTCCGAACAGATTCATACTTAACAACAACCAAAAATCCAATTCTACCAAGAAAAAAGCATTGCAACTGAGAACCAGTTCTAATCAGAGTGTTGGACCAGGTTCAAACTACCCCTCAGCCATGAAGCTTTTTGGGCAAATCACTATATCTCAGCCTAACCTGATTCCCAGGGTTTTTGTGAGGCTAAATGTTGAAAGTGAAATTATGTACACCACCCTGAGCTCCTCAGAGCAAAATTAAAGTGTAATAAATGTAATGGATAATGAATACAAAGGTTTACATATATTTATTTTCAAAGCTTCTTATTAAAATCTGTGTATAATATTGTTTGTCTGTTTACATCTATGTTTTGGCTGTAATATCAATCCTATGTTTTAACTCTTAACTCCAGTAATGTCAGTTGTGTTTATGTTTGTACTGCAATTCAATTGTTCCAGTTGCTTATATCCTTTCTGAATTTTGGCTGGTTGTAAAGCACACATCAAGGTTTAAAATGCATATATATTTTTGAGTTGGGGGGAAAACATAAAGTCTACCTAATTTTGCATAATATTGTAAATGTAATCTTGGCACATAACTTAAGCTTTTTCTTCAAACTTGAATTTGGTAGCTTCAGTTTGTCAACATGACAACATCAGTGTAGAGCTCATGTGATCTGGAAATCTTAACAAATCTCTAGGCAGGTGATCTTCATTTTTATAATCTAGGGCTGAGGCCAAGGCAGAGAAGTTAACAAAGCCTTGGTTCAGAGCAAACAACACCTGTGCTGGTCTTTCTGATGAATGACCATTGTAAGTGACATGGAGATTATATGGCAGTTGTCTTAAGCCTCCTCACTGAGCTGGTTTCTCTTTTGGCATCAGCTGGGACTTTTCGTAGAGTTCAATCCTGAAGAGATGATGCTAGATCTGGAGGATGACGGGGACCTAGAAGCAGAACTAGCTGCTATCACTGGAGAGAACTTGCCTGCTGGGAAAACAAAACCCAAAGGAAAAAGTAAGCATGTGCACTGGAAACTTTGAATTGTTTAAGGTAATTAGAGGTTGCATTTGTACTTTTTGCCTTTGCGATGCAACTGATAATTAAGAGCCCATACACAAGATGGAATTTTTTTCGCAGTACCGTACAATCCTGCATATCAGGGATGGGGAACCTTTTGCAGCCTGTGAGCTACATTTCCTCATAGGCAGTCTTCTAGGGTGGTGGGTGGAACCAGAGGCAAAAATGAATAGAGCAACAGGTGTAATACTGAACTTTATAGAGTACATTCAACCATGCAAAAGACAGAGGTTTCTACCTGCCCTGCCCCCAATCCCCCCTTCCAGGTAAACAAGAGGCGTTATCACAGTTCAAGGATGCATTCCAGCCAATGAAAAGCCCTTGAGGAGGGTCAGTAAAGGGTGTGGCCTGAGGAGAGTCCTGAGGGCTGTATTTGACCCCTGGCCTTAATTTTCCCACCTTTGGTATACCTGTCTGCTGAAAAGTAAACCCAAGTGTTCTTCATTCCGGGGAGGGGATTGCAGCCTACTTTTGTAACTGGGCCTGTAGGGAGCCAATCAGAATGAGAAAATAAAGCTACTCTTGTTCAGACATGGTGGATATTGGTAACCTGAAGAATTATGATGCATATGTCGTTACATGTTATTGTGACAGTACAATCAGATGTTCTTATTTATTTACTTACTTTTGCCTAGGTGTCTAGTAATACAAGTTCTTTGGATGACATGTAACCGCTAAGTGTAAAACAGAAGTAAAGCTTAAGCATAGAATAATATAAACAAACATAGAACAGTACAAACAAATTCAGCTTTTAAAAACAAAGGTAAACCAGCCTTATCATGTGAAAAAGGCTAAGAAGGGAGTAAAGACTGACCAACCACTATTAAAACAAAGACCACTCATTGTTAAACAATAATTCAAATTATATATATATATATGCACGCATGCATATGATGTTGGACTTGTATATCTGCTTGCTTGCCTTTCTTGCTGTTTTAATTTTATACTTCTGTAGCGATGCAGAATGAGACAGGCTGAAATTGGTGTGGAAGCTATAGTAACAAACAGTGAAGTGAGCAATTGGAGTCAAATAGAGCAGTTGAGAAGGAAAATTGGGCAGATGGCTGAGCATGATGAAGGAGATGATGATACAAAAGTGGGAGGGGATGAGCTGTATATACAAGCTTTAAGACTCATGGCTGAGAGTTTAAAAGATAACAGAAGAGGAGTGGACTGACACTGAAATGATTTAATAGTGATCATTCAGCAGAGTCATTGGGCTAGAAAATAGATTGCTGAGGACCAGGTTTTATATCCCTGCTCAGCCAAAGGTATTGTTAGTTTCTTGCTCTCCTGCATTCCCCATTTGTAGAAGGACCATAAGGTCACTGTGTCCCAGGCTTCTGGTGGAGACAAAAAAGGCCTGACCTGTAGTGCACTTTTCACATCAAAAGTGCTTCATAAATGATGATCGCTTTTAAAAAGCAACAACAACAACCTGTGTATAATCACTCCACCATCCCGTCCTGCAGGTGGTATAATGAGGGCAGAAGATGGAGTTGAGAAAGACAAACAAATTCCTTAGGCAAGGTACCACAAGGGTAGCGCGGATGTAGTCCTCCACAAGTTGCATTTTGACATTGTTGCATGCAATACAGAGATCCTGTATTGCTTGGAATTCTGCTTGGAAGATTAGGTCTAAGTCAAAATGACATTGTGTGGCCATGTATCTTTGTACTTCTGGATGAAAACTTTGAAAGATCACTGTGTTACACAATAGGCTGGTTCATACAGAACGCTAACCCATGGTTTAGCACAACCTAGAATACGTCCATTGCACACTCTGCTTTGCTTCTCACAGCATTTCGTTTCTCTTTCACCCTGACCTAATGTTATGCACAAACCAGAGATCACAGGTTTTAGTGCTACATAAGCGAGCCTCCTGTCAGGCCTGTACCCCCCCCTCCCCCTTCCTCCTCCCCTCCCATCCAATAGCAAGATTGATGCCAAGTTTACTTTCATTTTCAAAGACTCTTAGTTTGGGGGGAGGTTTAGACCTGGTTTGCTGAAGATGTGTTTTTGTTGGCCAGGTTTATTTCCTAAATTGACTGTTGAGACTTTGTTTCCTATAATAGCTTAGGATTGGTAGAGAACAGGGGTCGCCAACCTTTTTGGACCAGTGGTCACCTTTTGAATTTTGGAAGAGTGTTTTGGGTGCCAGTCACAACTTGCCTGCCACGGTGCACATAGTTTAACAGACAATTTAAGAGAGCACAGCCATTCTTCCTCACCACATCATACAATATTGATTATGTACTCACATTCAACCATTTTATTGTTATGTAATAACAACAGTTAACATTCCTCGAATGACCATGTTTCACTTGCACACACACTCACACACACCCTTCAGAAAAGCCCCTCCATGGGAGAAGGAAGTATCTGCAATTGCAGGTGGGGGGAAGCAATATCTCTCCTTGCACCCTGAAACAAAATAAACAACAACATGAAGTCCACAAACTTGATACCCACAGTCACCGGTTTCATGATCCCTACATAAAGAAGGAAAGCAACGTGATAGAAAGTTTAGTTATAACTACTTAATGTCTTTTAATTTTTTACTGGCTAAAACCAAGAAAGTGGCCAAGATGAAAAGTCTTTTAAAAACCTGCCACAATGTTAGGGTCACAGTAATTGTTTATCTGAACCTTAGGGTTCCTCCCTTAGGATCTCCTTGTTAATTGTGTTCTCCAGCTCCCCTGCCTATGGATCATATTGAAAAGATGGCCGCTGAGTGCATGAAGGACTTGGATGAAGATGATGACGAAGGTCTGGAAGAAGATACCGAACTTTTGGTATATATGGGATTCCGTTGCAAGGCTGTTTTTCTTGGTGTGAAGGAAGAGGCATCGTCCCCTTATAGGAAAGAATGCATGTGATAACACTCCAAATTCTTGTGGGTCTGGAACACTGAAAGGGAGGTGCAAACAGTTCTTCCTAGTAATTGGCTGTAACCATTAAAGCTCAGAATTTTCCAGAGAGCAACGGCAGGTGTGTGGGTCTCACCTTTCCTGCTTGGTACTGGCTCTGTTTCCTCAGGCTGGAGCAGAAGTGGTGTCTGTTTGTAGCTGCCAGAGGGGAAAGAAGAATCTTGTCTGGAAAAGAAATTGTGACATTCCTGAGGTTTGAACTGGGCTGCAGGTGAATTAAATTTAGAAGTTGTTCCACAATGTTTGAAGAGATAGTAGCATCTGGCAGTACTACTGGTGAACTTCATGTGCACCAAGACCCACTCACACAGGTTTCTTAAGGATCCTGGGAAATCAGGCTGAAAACTTACTACCGTATTGGCCTGAATATAAGCCGCACCCAAATATAAGCCACACCTTTAAAATTCATTGGGGGCGGGGAGAAAAAAAGATAATACCTGAATATAAGCCACTCCCTTAAAATTATGCAGGCACTCACACCCGTTCCATTTTACCATATGTCTGTTTCAGCAGCAATATTGTAAAAGCCAATTTTTGTAAGGTTGCGAAAATAAGCCGCACTTTAACTTTACATGGTCAGCATTTGGGAAAAAAAGTGAGGCTTATATTCAGGCCAATATGGTATTTTTCTTGGGAGTTGTTTTTAGAACTGCTTTGCACCCCCTAAAGTGATTGTGTCCTACCACACATGATCCTTATATTAAAATCATTTCCATATTCTTTAATACAAGGCTGGGAGAGGCAGGAGGAAATCTTAATCAAATGAATATGATGTCATATTCACTGGAACATCATTAAGGCCTCTTGAAAAGTAATGCTTTCTCTCAACAACCGCAGTTTTTCGAGTTTCCAGATTTGGAATTCAGGCATATCAGAAAGGCTGGTATATAAGAACTTTTACTACAATCTTGTGTACAAAAACACTTTGAGGGTTTTTTTTTGTTTTGTTTTTACAGTCAAGTAGTTTATAAATAACATGAAATAAAAAATACAATTGTGCTTGGTTAAGTCCCATAGGACTTCACTGGGACATAATTGTATGCAAGATTGTGGCCTTCGTTTGCTTTACAGGCTGTAGAGTTCTTCATAGATGTGTGTTCTTAGAACCGTGCAAGTTCCTGGTTGCCTAAGGGGCCCTTAAAAGGCATACAGGAAGTTTACAAATCACAGCACAATTCTACCCATCCTAAACCACACACACATTCGAGGTTTAACTGGAATTATTTTGCTGCCAATTCAAATTAGCTAAAATGTGGTGCATCGCTTGGACAGCATGTA